CCCCTTAGATCAGATTGTATTTTTGTTCTATATTTAGTTCTAGGGGACTTCTTTATTTCCTGCATTTACAATTACATATATGAAACATTTCAAACAGTATTTTTATTCCAGATGTTACAATGTTACTGGTAATTCTGATTTTAATGAGGATTTAGATATTTAAAAATTTAAATATTTAAAAATTAAAAATTAATGCAAGCATTTTGTACAGCGTGTGGTACTAGTTAGTGTTGTGCTAATTGTAACAAACAGAAAAATACAATAAATTTTCTGATGATGAAAATTCTATTTTTATTGTGGAAAATCTCATACATGATGACTGTAATTTGGGGGGAAAAAATATTTCCAAATATAATTTTTAGTTTTCTTTCATCAATCATATGAAAAGCACAATCATGATTTTTCCACAATCCAATGCATTTTTCTAATAAAATCATGACTTTTGACCTGGGAGCAACATGCACTAAATACCACCGGTGACTCCTTTGATACCTTCCAATCACCCAAAAAATTTACTTAGTTAAAGCTTGGTAACCACTCAGTTTGAAACTCAACAGTCAAAGTCACCATATCTTTGTTTATATGGGACCCATATTCCACACGCTTGTGTGGCACAAGCAGCACCACATTTTAACCCCTTTAATAATAAACTCCATGAAAGTGCTATCATCAACTCATTTAGGAGTTTCTCTCGCTGATAATTGAATTGTCTCTCCTGTACTCCTGAATTTCTATATCAGTGATCTTGAGTTTTTAATAATAACTTTGTGACTCTACAAGTACCATTTAAGGGTACTGTATGGTAAAGACAAAACATAAAATACATTGTACAGACAGAAAAAAAAATACATAATGTGAAACTATTAATAAAGAAAATATCAATAAAAAAAAACTTATTTAATTTTGTATATTGTATTTTTTAAATATTTGGCCAATGCAATACTACAATTGCATAAGTTATTTAGTCTTTCCACTTTCTGGTTTGTTTTGATATCACATTCTTCAAATATGAGTTTTCTTTCCTCCTTATAAATTTACAATCTAGAATGAAGTGAATTTCATTCTTGACTACTTTTTCAATGCATATTTTACAAAGTTTATTCTTTTCTTCTATGAGTGTTTTTTCTCCTATCTAATTAAGGTAGAAGCCTACTCATAATTTCAAATACCCAGAATTTATTAATTTTTTAATAAATTGTACTTCCGGACAATATAAGAATATTGACTTAAAAAAAGTTGGGAGTCCCAAGGTTAATTTTCAAGAAAATCATAGTTGTATTTTAGTGGATAGCAGCCATTTTGGCAGTATGCCATTTCAGACTGTTTTAAATAATTCAAATTTTATTATAAACACAACAAACCCATTCCCATCAATTTTATAAATATTTATGAATTTCAATGACATTTGAAAACGTTCCAATGTTATTTCATTTGCCAATAACAAATTTCTCATTCCAGTTTGAATTGTGAACTTAATAAATATTCATAAAAAAAAGAGAACAGGTTTGTTGTGATGAGAGTAACATTTATATCACCGAAATGATCACACAAATAAAATGTGCTGATTCACCGTTATGAGCAAGTCGTACACGCGACCAAGTCTGGACTGTGTGATGGACTAACACCACCATGTTGAGGTCCTTGTGTCATAAACACACACGAGAGACTTCCAACAAATACAGCCCCACCCCTACCTGTCGGTGCGTAGCTCTAATTTTGCCAAGGCCATATCTGTTTTTCGTCGTGAAAAAAGTGACGAAATATTTCAAATGTAGGAGAAAAAAGTTTCAATGACGAAAATGAACAAGCAGAACTATATCATCGATCGAGCTACCGAAACACAATTTCCCTCAGGCTCCACCATCATCTAGATGTAAGACCTGGCCACGGCCCGACCCTTCTGCTACTCTCGTTCGCTGGATCACATCAGTAAATACCCGGCGTTTATAATATTATAGTATACGAGAACCTGCCGTCACAGGAACGGTACGAGCCAACCTGTTACAATGACAGTACAAACCAAACACGGTGTTGACAGTCACCATTATATATTACCCACCTGAAATCGTAATAACTTACCTGTGTACTTATCTAGACTAAAGTCGGGACGAACAAAACACATACAGCCTGAGTAACTGTGCGTCTATTACCAGTGGCACTTTCGTGTGCGTGACCTTTCAGTTCACCACTAGATGGCGTTTCACAAATCGCCGGTAACCTAAATA